AGTTCCCTGATGACTATTGATGTTGGGTGTTTAAGTGTTTCTCGGTCATTAGACATTGTTAAAATAGCAGAATACTTAACTGGTGTACACTAATTTTAAACACACAGAGCACAACCATCACCACCTTCCAGACTCGGGAAACATAATATAGGAAGAAGAAGTAAGAGCTAAATGATAGGAATGATATAATGAAATGTTATGAGCATGACATGGCCACAGCGCTCTTGACGCCACAACTGTCCTGTTTGTATGTACAGTGTCTGTACAAGACTGAGCAGGTAAACAAACATTCCATCTTAGAGGAGAAAGGGTCTGGTTCATGAAACTTTGTTCCACCTGTGGAAACTGATAGCATTGAGAGCTGATGAGGACATAAAGTCATTGTCTTCATTGATGTAGCCATTGGAATTACTTATGATACAAGAGATAGCTTCATACCCATGCCTTGGTTAAATACAGTGGGTCACAAAGCAAGATATATAAAATAAAATAAAAACTGTGGAAGTGGGATGGAGATTGGATGGGAGGAAATGGTAGTTGATGGATGTAAGAAAAGGATAAGTGATAAGAGTAAGAGGCAGGATTATGATCATAATTATAATATATAAAATTGTTAAAGGATAAATTAACAAACACACAAAAAAAATAAAGCTTCAACTCAGTCCATCACAGTCATCTCCAGAACTCTCCATGATTATAACACGCAACTTATGAAGCTACAAAAGTCTTTACTTGCTAGCTACTCCAGACCTTCTGAAGCCATCATGCAACTCACTTTGATAATCAGGCACTGCCAACTCAGAAAAACTTCTACAAGCCACTGGTATGCTGTTACCAATCCCCTAAGGGCCTCGGAACCTTCTTATCTCCATGGATTTACCACGCATAAATGTCCTGCTATCTTTCAGAGTTCTACTTTCCGATCTAGTGTTGCAGGGCTAGCATTTTCCTTAAATCCTCTTTGGCACTCACTGGCTCATACAAATATCTCCTGTGCCCTCTACATGGTAGTCACACCGAATCCTCCCCGTTACAGTTTGGTAATGATGTGTTTTGTACGTTATCTTGAATCCTTTTACTATCTCTTTCATCATTTTCTCTATAGTGTAAACATAGCAGCAAGTGAGAGATTGGTATCTTTTAATTCTTCTGAGCCAGTTTAAGGCTTAACAGGATTAAACTATTGTAAATTCAAAACAAGCAAGAAATGGGGACCTAGCATGTTTTCAAAACACACTATTTCCACTACGTGAATGATAATCTAGATTTAAAATATTTGCAGAACTCTAAATTTAGTCTTTTACTTTTTCATTTATAATGATGCATATTTGATTCTCACTTTAAAAAAAAATCTATCTATTTATTTATCCATTATTCATTTGTTTGATTGTGGAATATACCAAAGTGTACCTGTAGAGATCAGAAGACAATTTTGCAGATTTGATTCTATCCTCTTACCGGATTGAGCTCAGGTTGCCACATTTGGTGACAGATACCTATACCCTCTGAGCCATTGCATCAGCCTCCATATACTGAGAATATCAATACTGAATGGTGTTTAAAGAAAACCAAAATAAAATTAAATTTTGGCACTTCTATAGAAAGGAATCATTTGATATACCAGAAAGGAAAATACAATCTAAATTGAAAAACTGAATTGCCTAATGCTTCGGAGAAGGACAGTTATATTTCAGTTTCAGAATAGGTAAAATAATGTCTCTTCATCAGAAAAAGAAACAATAACCTAGACATGCATTGTTGTCTTCCAAAAATGGAAAAAATTACTAGAATTTCTAGTTATTTCACTTCTAACTATAATTCTCCAATGAGAGTCTCTCAAACAGAGACTTTACTACCCTGAAAGCAAGGTATCAATATTAAGAAAAAATGATAGAACTATGAAGAGACCTTTTTGTTTGTTGGGTTATTTTTTTTTTTTACAAGTTTAAAGCACCTGTTTAATTTTGACCTTTACTGTTCAGAGATCTCGGCACACAAGGGTGGAGATATGTTTCAGTCCCTCACTTAGGTTGCAAAGTCACTGTGTTGTCCTTAAGATTCCTGTCTCCTGTTTGTACTCCTGTGCGTGTAAGATATTGAAAATGTGATGTCATTTCAAAAGTGAGTCTGCAATGCCACATATGTTAGAGCTTTGATAAGCCTGCACATTTTGAGAAAAGTTTTGTGATTAGTAAAGTGAAAGGATAGCCCTTTACTGCAAGAAAACACACTTGGTTTGTAGTAAGTACCCAGGAATCACAGACTGTGCCACCGTTTGTCAGTGACAACTGGAAAGTGCTGTTCCCTAGAGCATCCCCTCTTTGTTTGGATTAAGAACACAGCTGAAATTGCCTCACATAAACTCATGATTATGCTCATTTGCTCTTCAAACACAGCAGTAAAACACCTCTTGCCTAAGAAACCTGCTACTTCACCATCATCTTTAGAAATATGTGCTAGCTCTGTCCTAGCCACAAAACTATGTGGCAAAGAACATTCATGTTTGTTGTGTTTGGCCTTGTTGGAAATCACTAACTAACAGGAATATCTGCAAAATTACACAGCAATATGGTAAAATAATAGTAACTCAAACTGAAGCCATCGACGAAATGAAACCCACCTCTGTCCCCTTCCACAACTCTGCTATGCCAACCGAATGACTTATTAAGACTGAATCAAACCTCTGAACTTATACAGGCTAAAAAGTAATGTTATTCATTTCATCATCTAGGATGTCATGAAAGAGGTAAGAATCCGTGACTCACAGATGAATACACAGATGAATAATTCAGGTGGAGCATTAGCAAATGCTAGTGATCTGCTATGTATTGAAATAATTTACATATAAGGATATTTTTCAACAGCTCTCCTTAAAAGTGCTATTTTATGTGCACAATTTTTAGAAAATTTAGGCTAAAAACTAAAGTTTAAAGAAGAAAAATAGTTCTTTGAAAGGAGATCCCACATCTTAAGTGATTTTCTGCTGTTCACATGCATTTCTTTCTTTTTCACTATTTCCCTAGGCCTCTGGAATCACTCCAGTCTTTCTCTTACATCATTAATATTACCCAAGACTTATTTGGCTATCTTCAGTCTTCACTTGCAGTATCCCAGCAACCTCTTTGTAAAACTGTTTTAACTGCCTGAATTGTGTGTGTGTGTGTGTGTGTGTGTGTGTGTGTGTGTGTGTGTGTTATAACGTGGGTACAGATAACACACAAAACTTTTGGAAGTCTGTTCTCCCCTTCTACCCTGAGAGTTCCCAGGACTGAATTTAAGCCATCAATATTGACATCAAGAGCCACTGAGTCATCTCACCAGCTCCCAGTGACCTCTTATCTGAAATCTCTGCATATTGGTTTTGTGGCAAAGGTGGCCACATAAGATTTTAGAGAACAGTACTTTGTGACAGATAAATGCAAAACTGATCTTTGAGAACAACCTCAAGTGACCATCAGTGTTGTGATACAAAGGACACTAGGAAAACTTCCTGTCCCTATGATGACTATAATATGAAAATTAAAAAAAAAAAGATAGCTTTTCCTCTAACAACAATTATAGAGTCCAGTCCACAGGGTTCCTCAGCCTTCATCCTTTAATCAGCCAATCTTCAGAGTTATGATTTGTTTTGAGAACACAGTGAAGCACAGGGATTAAGTCACCTGACTGTGAGCCAGTAACTCAGAGAGGAAGAACTCACAACCAGGCCTTGTGTTCCATACGCCACCCATTGCTCACCCATTGCCATATACTTGCCGCCTGGTTCACTGTCAGCACACAAAAGTTGAATCACTCAAATGCTGCTGGAAAAATGAGCTGAACTGTGGGTGGTAAGGGGGCAAGGGACTACATTTGAAAGAAACATCATGTAAACACTTCCTCAAAATAAAAACATGAGGGGATGAGGCATGATGACCACACAGACCGACTCAGAGTCCTCTGGATTTTATTACAGATTCTCAGCTCTGAGAAGAAAGTCGGCCACCAAATTACCAAATGTCAGCTTGACCAATGCATTTCCCTCATCTGCTCAGTAGTGCTTTTTCAAATTCTACAGATAATATCCTTTCCTAATGATTAGCAGATGGGAGCAACCGCAGCCTTAAAGGGCTAGGCACCTAGAAATTCCACTTATTTTTTTCACAAACGGTGGACCTCACTCTCAAAGCCTATAAATCACTTCTACAGTGTATTCTCCTTATTGTAATATGAAAACAGTTTTGAAAGCATTTATACTTGAAATTTCAAGAGGAAAGCTTTCTTCCTACCACGAACCCTAAGATCACCTGACCTCTACCAGGCCCAGGGCAGTCCTGGCTTGAGTGTCATATGCACAACAAGGCAATGGGTTTGGGCATACTCCCAGCTGTTTGACACCTTTTAAGCTTTTTTTTTTTTTTTTTTTTTTTTTTTTTTTTTTTTTTTTTTTTTTTACCGCAGCCCCCTTTTCCCACTTTTCCAGCCAACACAATTACAGTGTCAGTTACTTGCAGTGGTTTTCTACACCTTGAACTTTGAAAATAAGCTCATTTCAGCCTTGAGAAGATAAGGTCTAATTCTTCAAACCCTGATCAGTTACATTTTACTGAAGACTTTCTTCAACCCTCTTCCTCACCACAATGGGCAGGTGCATAATTCCCTAGCCAATTGCATGTTCTATTTGTTTACACAGTATCTCCTCTGCCAGTCAACAGAGTCCAAGTGTGGCAAGCCTTTGTTTTGATAAGCCTTTGTTTTGGTCACTCAACATCGCACTGCCACGCAGGGCCACTCTCAGTAAATATCTATGGGAAACTGGGGTAATACTAAATAACCGAGAACTTCAAAAGGAGATTGTAGGACAGGGACGAGAGTGAAACCAACAAACAAAACAAATAGCTGAAGGAATCTTGAATTTTGATTTTCTCTCCCGGTAAAACTTTAGATTCCTGGTCCCAGACCTTTCAGCCTCAGCTTCCTAGAAGTTAGGAGGTACCGGAGTTAACTCAGACATCACTCACCAACTAGTGGAAGGAGGGTATCTGCTCTCTAGCGTTTTGGTCCAAGGCTTGTACCAACTGATCTGCTCCGCAGCTTTACCCCAGAACCTCTCAGGGTCTGCCACAGAGGCTGCGAAGTTGGTCTTGTATTCGCCACCACTGCCTGTGGTCAGAGCCCTGCAGCTTCTGCCCCCGAGACTGGCCACCAAAGCCCTTCGGGCAGCACCGGCTCCTCTCGCTGAAGGGGACCCTGGCAGGGGCGCCCCAAGAGTCCCGGCGCCTGTTACTTTGCGACATTGCAGCCAGGATGGCTTCATACTTTCTCTCTGCTCTAGCTGCAGGCCCAGCAGCTTACTCTCCGGACAGCGGACAGCAGTAGCACCAGCCCTGAAAGGAGCCTGCAGGAGGCGGGGACTAATAGCGAGGTGAGCCCGAAGCCTAGAAGTTTAGAAGTCAAACTGAAGTCCACAATAAAAACCGACCTGGAACTAATAGGAAAGCAACATGCGGAGCGGAGACCTGGGGAAACGGACAGGCGTCTATAAGAACTGAGTTGCCTCACCCTGTAAATTCAACTCTTAACACGCATTTCCAACGCAGGACAGTAACTTATCATTTGACAGGGTGTCCTCAGGAGGACTTAGACACACATAAACAAGCCAAGAACAAGGTAAAAGGGTCCAATGGTTTCTTTTAAAGAAAGCGTGTGTCTCTGTCCAACAGCAAAATCACGTAACTCTGAACATAACAGTGAGGCCCTGGGATATTATTTTCCTTTACTCATTTATTTCTTTGTTTGAAATTCAACTCACACCCCAGTTACTAAAACCACAAGCAGTTCCAGGATAATGTTTGTTCCAGGATTTCCTGGCAACCCAGAGGAGGCTTGGAAGGAGAGTAACACAGCAGGGCTGGGAAGTGCTTCCAGGAGTGATTGACAGGCTTGCCACTGGGGAAAAGAGCCCAACTGGGTTCAGGAGGCACCTGCCTTGCACCCCACGGGTTTAGAGGCAGGGGAACAAAGGACTTGGCATATTTCTTCCTTTCTAATTTGCCCCTTCAGAGTTTTCCTCACTCTTTCAGAGGACACTGGGCGGTGAGATATCTTTGTGATAAAGAAAGTACTTTAAAATGGAATGCGATAACCACTGTGTAACTCTGAAGAGACTAGATGCCACTGTAATGTCCCCCTCGAGTGGGTGGACTGTTCAGTGTATGGGTTACCTCTGGGGAAGCTATTCCAAAACAAATCAGACGATGAAATGAATCAGAAGAAGATGAAGTTGAGAAAATTCAGAGCACACAAGTGGTATGAATTCCTGCCTGGCTTTAGCTTTCTTCAGGCTCTGTCTTTCACAGGAGTGAAATTTGCAATCTTTTGCTTTAATAAAGTGTCAAGTATAGTCTTTCTTAGTGTCACAATATTTGAACCTTAGAATGTAAAGATAATGTATTCCCAAGTCTTAGGTGAGAAATGGTGAAATGCCCTTGACCCTGTAAAGAACCATAAATTAAGAAGCTATAAACAAATGATCTTGCAGGGAGAAAATGATGTGGAGAAATAGGCTAAACAGAATGGGCATAAATGTAATGTGAGACAGAAAAAAAATGACTTTGACCAACCACTCCAGCTATTTTCTTTAACTGAGAAGCAAGACGCTACACTTTTCCTACCCTCCCACAGCACCTTTTATTCTTCAAAAACTTCTTAGAACAAGTGACATCTGGTAGTAGAAGACTGGCATCGTGTAAGCCAAAGGCCACTCCATTTCATTGCTCCTCCTTTCTGATACCCAATGCTGCCCCGCAACATACAAATTGGGTGGAACCCAAATTATTACCAATTAAATGAAATATGAATGCCTACATTATGTATGGATGGTTTCGGGGAAGTGATATGAAGGGAGGAACTAGATAGTTGTTGGTAAATTTTGTAAGCATACTCTATGCTTAGCATTTTTAAAACCTTACGGTCCTGTGATTTTTTTTTTTTCAGGACTGTGCAAGAAGTGGTAATTATCATCCCCATGTTTACCAGGGAAACTCATTGCAGAGTTTACAGCATTCAAACCTTGATGAGACTCAGAGCCAGGACACTGGGAAGGAGAGGAAGCTTGGTGGTTAAGAACACTTGTTGCAAAGGACAACGCAGGTTCAGTTCCCAGCAATCACATGGAGGCTCACCACCTCTTCAGACACCAAGCATGTGTAGTACACAGATGTCTAGGCAGTCAAAACACCCATGTATGCATATTCAGGTCTCAGACAGTGACACAAATCACCTGCAACCCCAAGGGGAGAGGGAAGGAAAGCCACACAGCAGATTTATTGCTTCATATCACACACCTTATCTCCTGCCACTTTCGTCTTTGTTTGGGAATCTGATTCCAGAGACCACAATTTTCAGGCCTGGTTGATTATCTTCTCATAAAAACAATCTCATAAAAAGGGGATCATGTTATACTTTCAACTAAAAACAACCAATTAAATATTTTTATGTGTTCTTGTTTGTGACACCACACCAAATATGAACCATATCGGGTAGTGCTGTTACAGAGCCAGCAAGGTCAAAGAGAGCTGAAGAGGAGAAGAAACCAAGTCAAAAGCTGGAAAGAAAGTGTTTTTCCTAGTGTATGTCTTAAAAAGGAGCAAGGAAGAAGCTGGATTTAGCTGCTTACTGAGAAGAAAGCAGAGTTCTTTGTTACTTCCTAGAATACCTCAGAACATGGAGCCCTGGATTTCTCTGGACATCACAATGACTGTGCAGTGTGCCAAACAGGAGAACTGATCTCAAAAACATAGGCAAGAAAAATATCCACGTTTCCAAATGAAACCACTTTCCCTGGAGACACCAATCCATCATCTTGAGTTTTTCCCTTAGTGCACAGAATAGAGAGAACCTATTTCTGGTCAAATCTTTGGCCCTTAGATACAGAGGTGGAGGCTGCTAACCAAGCACCAAGCACAGAAACGTTTAAAAGCACTGAATGCTGAGTCTCCTTGGTCAGAGTGCCCACACTACAATAGGACATGCTAAAATTTGGAGAGTTCCACTAACTTAACCACGCTGTAATTTCTGTATCTGTAATCTGAAGTTGATATTGTGGATTTACATGAGATATAAATAAACAGGTAGAGATTGTACTGGGGAATAGCAAGCCAAGCTAATTAAGAATAGTAGTAAAGTGCATAAAAACAAACAAACCCTCATGCAAAAGAAAAACAAATCTTTAAGGTATGTAAAACTTTGCATTCAGACTATTTCCAAAACTATGATTTTAATTTAAGCATGCATGCAATATTTGTACTATTTCAAAAGATAAAATTATACTTTAATTAGTTTGGGAAGAGATAATCAATACTTAAATCATGTGAAAATGCAGCTTTTACATGTGCCCTGTGTGTTTCTTGATATGTACAAGACATTCAATTCAAATGTTATTTCAGGTTACATTTAAAATACCTTAAACAATATGGAGGAATTAATATTACCTGCTCCCAAGTGTAAGGCAGCATGTATTATTTCTGAAGGAGATATCATCTGGCAAAAATACTAAATATTGAAAAAATAAAAGAAAATTTAAAAAATTATAATAAAATAAAATACCTTAAACAAAGATACATTGATTCAAAGATTATTATCTGAAAGACACAATATAATGTAGAAATGGAAAAAAAATGGTGAATGGTGTAGCGTACACAGAGTAGAGAGAGTGGAAGCTGTTCAAAAGTCATGAGGAAGTGGAAGGAGACTAGACCCAGAACGTAAAACACCTAAGGAAAGTGGCTGAACACGTCGGATAACAGAGAAGTAGAAAGGACATGAAGAAAGATGCAGCAATTTGCCACTCAGGTTTTTCCACTTTATTTAGCAATGGACTTCCCTACAAAAGGTAGAGAAGAGAGAGAGTCTAAATTTTTATTGGCTTGCCCTGACTGTATACATTGCTAGCCATGCAGATCACATCTTTGTCTAACTTTAACAAAAATAAAATGTCTGACCAGAGGAAAGCCTCAGAAATGCTAACCATTTGCCCTATGACTCTTGTATGCTTGGTTCCTGAACAGACTGAAGAGTGACAAGTGGAAGTATTTGCTGAAAGCACTTATCTGTGAAGCAGGTACAAGCTGAGCTGCAATCGAAGCCTACAGGGACATTGAAAATTTATTGTGATTCAGCAAAGCATTTTTATAAAATATGTTAGCATTTGTGGGCTAAAATAGTTTTCAAAGTTCTGAAGTGAAATATAATATATAATGAAATTGTAAATTTTAGTTTTTGAAATTTTCTTCTGTTTCCCACCTCCCACCAATGGCTATAAAGAAAACAGACCTGGATGGATTTGATGAAGGTGGGGGCTGGCAGGGCAGATAGAGAAGGGCATATGGGGAGAGACAGCTCACATTTAAAGGGCCAGTAACTCACACATGGCCCCAGGTAGAGACAGGAACTAAAGCAGAGACTATGGAGGAATGTTTCTTCCCATGGCTTGCTGGCTTGCTCAGGCAGCTTTTCTATGAATCCGGACTACCAGTCCAAAAGTGGCCCCTCCCACAGTCCACTGGGCTCTCCTCAATCATTCATGAGGAAAATTCCCCCACAGACTTGACAACAAGCAAATCATACAGAGGAATTTCCTCAGTGGAGGTTACATCTTCCGAGATGACCCTAGTTTGTGTCAAGTTGACCAAAGTTAACCAATACACCAAGAAATGAGGGGAGGAGGTGGTCATGAATTCTTGACACTAGCTGAGGAGCTGATATGATAGCTACCAGGAAAGGGAGAAACAGTCTCCATTAATGGTGTGACCTTTCATATATCAGGGCAGGCTCTATACCCAAGAGGGTCTGCCAACCCAAACTAAACTGAATAAGAAGGAGAGAGAGAGAGAGAGAGAGAGAGAGAGAGAGAGAGAGAGAGAGAGAGAGAGAGAAAGAGAGAGAGAGAACATGAACATAAAGTTGTATGGATAGGGAGGTGGTGGATATCTGAGGGAGAGTGAATATTGTCAGAATATCATGTATAAAATTCTCAAATAATTAATAAAAGCAATTACGTTATAGCAGTTTTATTCATAAAAACCAGAAGCTGGAAGTAACCTAGAGATCCCTCTACCAAAGAATGGAAAAAGAAAATGTAGAAATTTTACACAGTGGAGTATTGCTCAGTTACTTTTTTAAAACGACATCAAGAAACTTGGAGGCAAATGGATGGAATTAATAAAAGATCATCCTGAATAAGGTAACCCAGACCTGAAAGACAAGCATGGTATGTACTCCCGTGTAAGTGGACATTAGCTGTTAAATAAATCATCATCATCCAGAAACCACCCTGAGAAGGTAATACAGAAGGCTCACGGCAGAACGCATGGATCTTG